AAAAAAAAAAAAAAAGACCCTAGGTGGGCTCATGAACAACATGCTACACTTCTATTTTTTTTTTAAAGAATACTACTATCTTCGTTCTTTTATTTTGTTAAAAATATATAATATATTCATTAAAATTAATAAAAATATAAAAAAGATTGACTAAAATTAATAAAAATATATAAAACATTAACTAAAATTAATTAAAAATAATAAATTTATATTTTTAGATAAAGTGTTGTGTGAGAAAATTTGTGTAAAGCATTTTCAAATTATGAAATTTTATATTAGTTGTATTTTTACTTTTACTTAACATTTTTATGGGGTTGAGGTTTTTTAGGTTGATTTGCACTTTTATTCTTACTAGTCCATCTAAAAAACACATTTTTGTATTTTTATATAATACTATTACTACTAACGACCTGTTAGTCCGAGTGGAAAGAGTTCGATTTTTTTTAAATAAGATTTCAAATTCAAGTTTTGTGAATGGATAAACATGCGTTAGGAGAGCTTTCCTCCTAATGAGGTTCGACGTAATTCGATTTCAAATTAGTCGAGATTCAATGTGGTTACCGAATACTGAGAAGTTAATACAAAAGAAAAAAATAATAATACTATTACTATTTACTTCAAGTTTAATCATCTCTTTCCAAATTTAGTTGTCATATTTTGGGTGAGCTGAAGCTTTTTATTGCTAAAAAAAACTCAACAATAAATATGAAATTTTTATGTAATATAAAAGTTAAAGTTCTGATAATTGTGTGTTTTCCTAATTTTTAATAAACTAAAGTTTGAGGAAGATAGTATATATAAATGACAAAGATCAATATTTGAATAACAATATATTAAAAAATTTAATTAATTGAAATTATTTAACAAGAATTTATGTATAAAAAATTTCAACTATCATTCATAGTATAATATATACAAACATATGAAGTACTTAATATCTTAATTTTAACTATATATAAAATTGTCATAACAATAAAATTCTCTCAAAAATTATTAAATAATTACTCATTAGAATTTAAACATCCTCAATAAATACACATTGAACTTTAAAAAATTGTAACTAAATACTAAATGGGTTTTAAAATTTTATAATAAATATCCAATTGACTTTTTATAAAGTTTATATCTAACATATATATTATATTGCAATCTAATAAAAAAAATACTAATATAGAGAGAGATTTAGAAATATATATATATATACACACACCCACACATAGACATACGAAAAGCAATATGAGAGAGTAAAGGTGAAACAAATGCAAAAAAATAATAAAAGCCCAAAATAATGTGAAAAAATATCAGTTTAAGAAAGAGAAATGGTAAGAGATCCATGTATTAAATTAAACTTGAATTAAAATACATAACAATAACATAAGTATATGATGATGAGGCAAACCAGAAATTTGAAAGTGCTTCAAAGAATGATGAAAAATGATTGGTACATATTTCGATTCAATACACTTTTCGACACCTGTTTAGTTCAATTATTAAAATATAATAGAGGTATAATTGATTATGTATGACTGTATTTTTAAGTTTATCTACTTTTAATTGTAAATTAAAAAATAATAATTTTTTAATGAATATATTACATAGTATGTTGAACGAAGAATGTACCAATCAATGTCCTAGAAAGATATATGATAGGACACTAATTGTTACATTCTCCAATTCAGTATACTATTCATTAACAAATTATTATTTTCTAATTTAAAATTAAAGGTAAGCAAATTTAAAAATGCAATAATACATACATGATACCGGAATTGAATGAATTGACTATATCTATATAATATTTTAATAATTGAACCGAGTGGTATTAAAATATGTGTCAAATTAGAGAGATATATCAATCATTTTCTTATATAGGAACAAATTATGACAATTATTTTTTATTTTTTTAAATTAAATTGATTAAATTTTTAAGCTTAAATTTTTTCATCCCTACAATTTAAACCGTGTTTTTAATTAATACATTTACAACTACTAATTATGAAAAAAGTACTCTAAAATATATTTATAGTTAATTATTATTATAAAAACTTATAATTATTAAAAATATTTTAAAAAATAGTTTGCGTGAAAGACAACTTAAGGTCTAGTTAAGCACAAAAGTTTGAAGTAAATAACTAACTAACTTGAGACGTACTAGGATACAAATACTCACCTACACATAACTTTCATGACTTACACCCTTTTATTTTACTGCACACCTGATTAAAAACTTGGAATATTATTTGATACATTTTTTGATATTTATTTGATTTGGTCATTAAAATATAATATAAGTATAATTAATTTAATCAATTTTATATTTTATATGTATAATTATATTTTTAAATTTATATATTTTTAATTTTAAATTAAAAATAATAATTTTTTAATAAATATATTGTGTAGTGTATTGAATTAGATAATTTAGTAATCATTATCTAAACTACTCACTCTTCCTCCCGACACAAACACATGGAACTAGCTAGTTTACACCTTACACACACTATTGCCTTACACCACAATTATGGCCTTGCAAGATCGAAATAATCGTCAAAGGGAGCGATTTGCAAACGCCATGCTTGACGTTATTTACAAAGGGAAGTATTGGAAAGTAAGAGACTTATTTGAAAGCAATCGAGCTGATGCAATATCTACAACATTTGAAAATGGGCAAACTGCTCTCCACGTTGCAATTACTGCTGGTCAGCTAAGGGTTGCTAAGGAATTGATCACTATTACTAGTACTGAAGCAAACAGTCGCCAATTGGAGGATAAAGATAAGAGTGGCAACACAGCTCTTTCCTTTGCTGCTCGTAGTGGAATGATGGAAATTGCAAAGTGCTTGATTGAAAAGAACAAGGACTTGCTTACTATCCCAGATGGCGACGATAAGCTCCCGGTTCAATTGGCTTGCCGGGCAGGACATGAGGACATGACTCGCTACCTCTACCGCAAGACCCCGAGAGAATGTCTAAGGGGAGACAATGGCTTCTACCTACTCGAGGAGTGTGTAACTAAGAAAATGTTTGGTGAGAGCTCTAACATTCATCTTCTCTCTTTATATAATTTTGCTATTTCGATTTTCTCTAACAAATACTTAATTTGGCATATATCAGATATTGCACTCAATCTCCTCCACCGCTTTCCAAAGTTTGCAATATATAGAATCCTTAAGAAGGATACCATTCCGATCATTTTAACTCTTGCTCAAACACTACCACCATTCGTTAGAGGAAATCAGCTAGCATTTTGGAGACGATGGATATATAATTGTTAGTCTCGTTTATCTTTATCTCTTTAATTTTTAACATAATTTCTCTTTTAATACATTTTTCAGCTAAAAAATAGAGTATCTTGGGATGTTGTGTATGCCATCTTTCTTTCTTTTCCAATATGTTTTTCTGAATTGTTTAGTGTATTAAATGCTATTTTTTTTTATTGTAACTGAAGGTACAAGAGTGAACGTGGACAAGGAAAGTGTTCTATCTGATGTTGTTGCCATTGTTGCAGCTCAAGGAAGAGGTATAGTAATTATGAGTTTTCTTTCTTTTTTCTCACTAATAACTTCTGTAGAGATTGCTGGGTAAATAGAAAGGCAATTATTTATTATACCTATGAAACTTCTCTTTAAAAAAAAAAATTATTATGAATCTAACTCATTTCATGGCAGGGACATTGGTTTCAATATCCAAAATTCATCGGAAAGCAATAATGTCCATCAAATGAGTTTTTTTTTTTTTTTTCTCCTTTACCTAATTAGCTTTTGTTATTGATTCTCTCTCTCTCTCTCTCTCTCTTTTTTAATCAGCCTTTTGTTCTTAATTCTTATTAGTAGAATTGAAGCAAAATATTTTTTTTCAACAGCAAAGAAAATATATGATTTAAAGTTGATGGATGCAATTGCTCGTGAGATTATACATTTTATATGTCGGCAATTATCAGCTTTGGATGAGAATGAATTTGTGCAAAGTGGAGCAGTGGAAGCAACCTTTCAAGCTATCGAGAATGGCATCCCTGAGATTGTAATTGAAATTGCAAAAGTTAATACAAATATATTATGGAACCGCACTGATTCTGAAGATTCAAGGAACATGTTTGCATGTGCTGTAGCACATCGTCAAGAGAAAGTGGCACAATATCTTTATGGACTTCATGCAAGAATTGGTACAAATATAGTTTTTACCAACGATCGAGATGGAAACAATTTATTACATTTAGCAGCAAAGTTAGCTCCTCGTTCTCACCTTGATTCCATCTCAGGTGCAGCTTTGCAGTTGCAAAGTGAGTTACGCTGGTTCAAGGTAACGATCTCATACTTGTATATGTTCTGTCAATTAATAAATTTTATATTTTAATGTCACATGTGGCTCCATTAATTCTGTATAGTAATAATGAGTTTCTCACTAAACATCCAGAATAATATTTTGAAATTAATGTAGGCAGTGGAAGGCATTGTTCCACAGTTCTACAACCATCAAAAAATTCATGGTGGTGAAACTCCTTCCGAAGTGTTTGTTAAGGAACACAAGCAGTTGCTAAAAGACGCGGAAGAATGGAGTAAGAAAACGGCAGAATCCTCTACATTCGTAGGTGCTCTAATCATTACAATTATGTTTGCTGTGGCTTTTACTGTTCCTGGTGGGAATGATCAAAATACAGGCTTCCCAATATTCTTGAACAAAACAGCAGACTCTTCTACAGTATCTTCTCCAACCGTGCCGTTCATGGTATTTGTAGCATCAGATGCAATTTCTCTTTTTGCTGCATCTAGTTCGGTGCTAATGTTTTTGGGGATTCTTACTTCACGTTATGCTTATAAGGATTTTCTTAAATCCTTACCCGTGAAGTTGATTGTTGGCATTTCTTCACTCTTCATCTCTATTGCAGCAATGATGGTAGCATTTTGCGTTGCTCTTTTCATCATGCTACAAGGTCGATTGTGGATAATCATACCAGTAACTTTGTTTGCTGGTGTTCCAGTCATTATCTTTGTATTATTGCAGTTTCCTTTTCTCATTGAGCTTTATACTTCCACTTTTAGACGAGGCATCTTTGAAGGGAAATGAACAACAGCTTAGGAAAAGGAAGATAGGGAATCACTCCAACAACAGGTTCTGGCTCTCTAAACTTGATCCCAATCGGAAAAGGCTTTAGCTCCAATAACTCAAAGGTAGATGTTCTGTCATTTTAAGTCTAGTAATTAGACGAGTGTGCTCTATGTGTATTGTAACTGCAAGAAACATTTGGTGGATGTTTATTCTTTGAAAATTTCATGCACTTTTATGTGTGCCAAACTCTTTCGGCAATCAAAGACTTATGTGAATGTTTCATATAGGGTGCTCCAAATATCCTATCATAATATCTGAGACACAGTTAGAGCGGAGAATTGCTAGATTGCATTTGTGCAACATGAGGACATGAACCATGTCATGTTGCAGGACTTGATTCCGAGAGCCCGTTTGGGTTTTTCTGCTCAGCTTTCTCCCAATGCTTCAAAATCTTTCATAAGCTTCTGAACACACTAAAGGGATGACTCAAAGCATCAAAAAGTAAACTGATATCACTTAATTATAAAAAGGAAAGGAGTCAAAGGACTTACATATATATATATATATATTTTCAAAATATATATTTTGCAGTCCATATTAACTTCGCT